TTTTTTGCGTTAACTTCTTGGTAGGGAGAAAATGAAGTCTAAATGCCCTAGATGTAGAATTTAAATAATGTCTAGATAGTCCCCTTTCTTAATTTCTCAGCCTAAAGTTTTAAAAGTGTAGGGGAAAAATTAAATAGGAAAGAGGGAAATAGTTCCTTTAATTACTTCCTGCCTTTCTTGGTTGCCACCACATTGGCACAATTATCTTTTTAAGTAATTAAAGCAGAGCTCTGATTTCTCATCTTCTTGTTTTCTGACTGCAAGTTTACAAGAGCCCAGTTTTGTCTTATTTGGAGCTACTTGGAGCCGTAGTTGGAGAGTTTGCCCTTGATTTATAGGATAAACTGACCTCACTGACATTTAAAGGAAGCCCCTGTTCATGGGAAAGTGTGAGATCAGCAGAAATGGGGGCTCGCAGGGGGATCTCAATTTCTTAAGATAACTTCAGGCTTGTGCCCACCGACTGCCTTTTGTCTGGGAAGGCAAAGACAGACAGGCAGTTCTGGACCAAAACACAGTTTCCTGGTGCAAATGGGACTCAATCTAATTCTTGGGGGTGGTAGAGGAGGAGACATAGTGGAAAAAAAGGCTGACAGAGTTGAAAAGAAAACTTTTCCTGCCTAGCGATTCTCCCATCAGAGCAAATGTCAGCTGGGAAAGTATTGGAGAATGGAAAGGAGCAACTCTTCCTTATAGATATTGTTGTGATTTTCGATGCCAACTTTAAACAACCCAGATTCTGACAAATTCGTGACTATAAAATGATGATTTCTACAAAAATGATCACTCTCTTAAGGCACTGTGTCAGATGGAAGTGTTTAAAATCAAGTTACAATGGCTTTGTCAAACTTCCGTCCTCCACCCATAGGACCCAAAGACAAAAATACATTGTTTGTAGCCTTCACAAATCTCTTTGAAACTATACCTGGTAACTGAAAAATGGCAATGATTCAATATGCACGACTCTAAGTATCATAGTAATCACACCATACAATTTTCTTTGCATTTCCAACAAGAACAGAGAGAATAACTGATAGCATTACACCTTAACACTTAATTCTACTTTCATTTTCTTAACCTATTTCATTTTCTCTTTCATATATATATATATATATATATATATTTTAAACTCTTTTAGGAGAACCCTGCCACTGACACCCATGACATGTAGAGTGGTAATTGCAAGATTTAAGTCATATGCACTTATCACATATGTAATATGTAGAGGCAGGGTATCAAGGGGAGTCATATGCACATACAAAGCAGAAATCTGTGAACGTATCTTTTGCACTGCATTGTGGGAATCATTTAGTTATTTGTTTGCAAAGGACTTTGCAGGTCTTTTTGTTCTCTATTGACACAAGTGCCAGATCCCCACAGTGCAGTGAGCACCAGTACAGGCACCCTTAGGTCAGGCGCCTTTCTTTTTAGCCAGCCCCAGTCCCAAAACGTTGTCAACCCCCAGTCGGCCTTGGGTTATTACGACGGAGGAGGTAGAGAACAGGCAGGCACGCGCAGCCTTAAGAGTTCCTTCCTGATTTGGGTTTCTTCCACTCCTTTGCCCTGGGAGAGCGGAGGAGGGGAGGGAAATCAAAGACCAGTTGAAAAAGAAAAAAACATCTTCCCTCAGGCGTGGGTCAGAGAATTCGGAAAGGCCTGCACTCACATGAGTAAAGCTTCACGAGGCCCTGGGCTGGAAGCACCGGACGGAGGTCGCGGCTGGGTCCAGCGCCCTCGGGAGGCCGAGGGCAGGGTGCCGACCCAAGGTCTGAGCCCTCGAGCTCTCTCGTCGCGGATTTGGGTCCCGTCTCATGAGTGGGGCTTGTGGGCTGGGCCTTCGGCCTGACACCTTCTCTTCCTCTCCAGCAGTGAGCGACAGCTCCCCCTACCACAGCCCCAAGGTGGAGGAGTGGAGCAGCCTGGGCCGCAACAACTTCCCCGCCGCCGCCCCGCACGCGGTGAACGGGCTGGAGAAGGGAGCCCTGGAGCAGGAAACCAAGTACGGTCAGGTGAGGAGGCGAGGGCCCGGCCAGGTGGACCGCGTGGCGCCGGGGATTTAGGCGATAAGAAGACTCGGGTCCGTTTCTGAGCCTCCCGGGAGAAAAGCCCAGGCCGGCGCCCATTTGCTTCTACGAGCCAGATCCTCCGTGGTTTGGGGGGAAACAGGCCCGGGCTTTCGAAGGCGGAGCTGAGGCCTCGACCCCCGCCAAGGGCCGGGAGCGCTCGCCAGGGCGCGGGGGTCTGGGGCGGCGGCTCCCCGGGGCGCGGCTCTGGGAAGCGCCTCCAGGCCTCTCGGTCTCTGGGGGCTTGGGGAGGCGGCTCCCGAAGCCTTTCGGCGGCTCGTATTGGGGGTAGAGTTAACCAAAGAAGGCGCTTCCGAAGGGCCGGGCGGAGCAACCCTGGGGCCTCGGAGCCGCGCCTCCACGCCCGCCAAACGCCCGCCCTGGGTCTCGGCCCTGCGGTGCGACGGCGGCTGTGGGGGTCCTCGCGCTCGGACTTTTGACCCTGTGGCCCTCGAACAAACCCCCGCGGCTCGTCCTGCGAAGAGGGGCACCCAGATAAGCGTCACATAGCTACCATTTTCTCGACTAAAGGTCACATCGTAATCTCCCAAGGAAGTTAGTGAAAAAACCTCAAATTATACGGACTGGCTGTGGACCGTTTAATTTTTCTTTCCCTCCGTCCCTCCCTCAAGTTTCCAAAGGAAAATTTAAAACACCGGTGTTTTCTTTTCCTCCGAGAAAAGCTAAGCAGCCACCACAACAAAAACTCCAGATTTAAGTCTAAATTCATCACCACCCTAGAGTCAAGAGTTCAAAACTCTCAAAAACCTGACCTTAAGGCAGTGTAAAGTTTCCCCAGCAGACCTCAGTAGGTTTGCAAATTTCTTAATCCCAAACTCTAATTCCAAAGCCTCAAGCTATTCAGTTTTCGTTTTATTATTTTGAAGTCTTAAAATTTTTAAAGTTTTCTTATCAAAATCAGCTTTTAAAAATTAAGTGGAACGCGTTCCTCTTATTCACATGGAAAAAAAATCCTAGTCGTTATTTTCTGTAACAAATCTCATTTCCATGTCCTCTTCCTTCTCTTATTCGTTGAAGTCGAATCAGAATACATGTTGGTGGCTCTCCAATAGCAAATGGTACAGAAAATGTCAGCAAGGAAAGAGAGCCCTTTTCCTTAGTCTGTTTCTACTGTAAAGAATGCCAATGGGAAATAATAAGGAAGTTTGTCATTTTCTTTTACTATAGGACCCACCCTTAACTTGCAATTTACAAAGAAAAGGCAGAATAGTACAATGGTTAGGAGCTCCGATCTCTGGCTGTGTGACTTCTTAGTAAAATATTTAATTTTTTAGAGTTTCTATTTCTTCAACTTTAAAACAGGGAAATGATACTCCCAACCCCAAGAGATGTTATGGGTATTCAATGAGATAATGCAGCCATATGGCACATAGTAAATATTTATTAAGTATTAAGCATTTATTATTTATTAAGCATTTATTAAGTATATACCTGTGATTCTAAGTGGCAGTTAAAGAGAGACTTGTAAAAGCAAGTAATATTTATCAGAGTATACCTTGTTCAGAGAGCCCATAGTCAAAAAGCTTCAAGGGATTTTGTAACAAACAATAGAAAGAGTGTATATAAAGCGCCTACCATAGAAGCAAGCATTTAATAGGAACTCAGTGCTTTTTATTAGGTCATCATTTATTGGAATAACGTTGTGAAGTATAGAGCTGAAAAACTTTCTAACTCCCACATGTCATTGATGAACCCAGTTTATATATCAAGCAGTCATAATCAAAAAAACTTTATTTATTTATTTAGAGACAGAGTCTAGCTTTGTCTCCAGGCTGGAGTGCAGTGGCCTGATCCTGGCTCACTGCAACTTCTGCCTCCCGGGTTCAAGCAATTCTCCTGCCTCAGCCTCCAGAGTAGCTGAGATTACAGGCATGCACTGCCATGCCCAGCTAATTTTTGTACTTTTAGTAGAGATGGGGTTTCACCATGTTGGCCAGGATAGTCTCGATCTCCTGACCTCATGATCTTCCCACCTCAGCCTCCCAAAGTACTGGGATTACAGGTGTGAGCCACTGCGCCCGGCCAGTTATTTTAATTTTCACTTCCTTGAATTATAGATCTAGCATTTAAACTTGTTTGGGAATGCTTAATTTATAATACACTTCAAAACTAAACTGACAGATTATTTAAAATAAAAATTTTGAAGTTTTAAATAATTGATATTCTGATCAAAAAGATATTTTATATACTAAATTTTAAATCACCAAATTATCACATTTATAAAAGAACATAAAGAAATAGCCAAATATTGCTCTAAATACTTATTTTTTCCAGAATAAAAAAAGTTACATCAAACTTACATTGGCAGAGTTCTTAATTGCAATATGCTAATCTTCTGTATTGCCATGTATTTTAATAGTTAGATAATTCAAATGATGTAAAATTTCAAAACCTGGAGTTTCTAAGAATAATATAAGTCAGTGGCTACTCTAAGATAATTATCAAAATAGTGCTTAATGCTGAAGAGGTACTAAGTAGGCACATAAATTTCTGCTGTGTCATTTTTTCTGAGTTTTGGATGTCAGACATTGATTTCATGTAGGCTTAAATCACACATTAATACTTGTTTATAAAGACACAGAGGTAAAGTGTTACACATACATGTGCATTTCTCTTACCAATATTTAAAGGGCTGATTTAGTTTAAAAGTTATTTTTCAAAATGGTGTCAGCATATTTCAACAAAAAAGTAAACTCTGGCAACACATTTTTTCCCCCTCCGTTTATATTATGGACAAAATCTTGAATGTCTTTGGCCAAATAAAAGCTTCAAAAATTTTCCCACTTTCAGGGCATTCGTGATTATTAAATAATGTGATATTATATGATACAGTTTAATTTTATTATATAAAGAAGGAAATTGCGAATTCAGAATCAAAGGATTTAAAGCATATTTTTCCTGAGGACACCTGGAGAATTACCAAAGGGCTAAACTATGCAACTAAGTATAGATACTATTGATTACGATAATCTAGAGTTTCTATTTTCAGCTTAACTGTAAAGACAGATGCCCTGATTCCTAGTAATTAAAACGGTATGCACATTTCAGCTATGCGTATACCTATCTTTTGTCTTTGAAAATTTAGTTTAGAATATTCAAACTTGTCTTAATATTACATTGTAATTAATATTTTGCAGTGCCATTCAGAAGTCCTTATTGTCTCTGAGGATAGAATATTTATTTTGGCTTTTTTAAACCCACAGTTATTATTGAGGCTAAAAGTCCTTAATCTCATTTACTTCTGAATGGCAACAATGTTCTTTGGTTGCTGATGGAGGGTTCTCTTCTGTTGAAAGCATAAAACTCCAATGGAATACAATTGGAATGGCCAAAACAACCTTATATAAAGAATCATAGAGGCTGGAATACATTTGCCCTTTTAGGAAGTATTTAGTGAATTAATGCCTCATTTTATTCAAACTAGATGTAAATAACTGTATAGCTCTTGAAAAATTTTCTGTAAATGAGCATACTTTCTCAGGAAAAATACATTGCATTTGTGATACTGTAATTGGAGTGACAGATTTATAAGCTTTGGGTATCTTCATTTTGGGGTTGCAGCTATTGACAAGTTTAATATAACACTAACTACAACTTCAGATGTCAGCTACAAATCTTGAGAAGTTCAAGATTCTATAAATACTTGAACTTTTAAAAAGTTCAGAATTAAGTTGTGAAAATAGTTGAATTTAAAGACATAATCTGAAATTCTTATGAAGCATTTACTTGTACATGTTATTTGAAGTGAAGATAGTCTTCCAGAATCCTGAATGTCATTTTCTAGTATACTATTTTAAAAACTGGCTGTCCTCATGGATTTACTGTTCTCAGGAAGATATAAAAGATATTGAACTAAATTTTTCTTCATATTAAAGTTAATTTTTATAAATAATTTATAAGTCATAGAGAATGAAATCTTAGGCAAATGCCAACAGAGTGTCTTTGAAATTTATAATGTTATCTTTTATGAAAAACATTCTTTGACCTGGTTATATTTTAACAAGAAGTAATTCAAAATAAAATTAATGATTATGTATCAGTAAAATGTGTTGTATAAAATGGCAGGGAAAGGTAATTGAAAATTTTTCAAGGCCGTGTCAATTTTACTAATCTTTTGGAAAATTATAAAATTTAGTAAAGTTTTTAAATAGCAACTTTCCATTTCCTAGAGACATTTAGATCTACAATATGATAAGCATAATTGAGATCTTGTTGGATGAATGTTGAAACCACATTTATAACCATCATTTCATTTTGTCAGATATGTTTTACTAGGTCATTGTGTAATGAATTAAAAAGGGAAGAATGACAGTCATAAAACTGATTCACCAAAAAAGAGAAAATCTTGATTATTTTCAGATCCAAAACTTGTTCTTGCTTATGATATTGAGGTTGAAATTCTGGGTGAAGCACATCTCTGTTTGTGGCTAAATCTACTTTATCATAAAGCCAAGGTAAACTCATTTTATCATAAGGGGAGGACCAGGTTGAACTCATAAGTGAAAGCAGATTGTGGGTAGAGAACCTGGCACTGTTATTTACGTTTATCTTCACAATAAAAAAATGTAGAGTAGACAATTCCCAGAATTTCAATAATGGTCTGTAACCTCTAATTGCCAGCCAGTTGCCATACCAGTTTTACGGTGGTCACAGGTGTTTTGATACTAATGTATTTTCGTTTTCTGGAGGAGGGAGGATAAATAGAATAACGATAAATCAAATAATAAAATGGCTAGGTTAGAACTTCTGTTTACTTTTTTCAACAGTCTTATTCATGTTGCTTGCTTAGAGTGTAACGCTTGTTCTGTGATAAACGGTGCCTACCTTTTTGCTTTGTTTCTTAAGCTAGAGTGTCACATCTTTTGCTCAAAACCTATACTAACTTAAGTATACATATGGTTATGGAATGCTTATGATGTATCCTGTTTTGTGGGGATACAAGATGATTAAGGCAAGTCCCTGTCCTCAAACAGTTTGCAATCTAGCCCTCTGCCAATACAGTTCCTCAACATAGTCACTAAAGTTACTTTAAAAAACTGGTAAATTTGCATTTTGAACATTTCGGAACAAGTGAAATGAAAACTTGTACTTCCATTCGTCTGTGATGACCTTAACTAGAACTATATTGCATCTTATAAATTTTTTTCTAAATGATTTCCTTTAATGTCAGTGTGATAAAGTCTGTCTTTTCCTAAAAGTATTAAACAAAGCAAGTAACTTACTTTTTCCAGGGTATGCTATTTAGTCTATTTTGCTTTGTATTAGTAAATCTCCTTCTCAAATTTAGGTAGAAGATAGCTTGCTATAGAGAGCACCCTTGCACAGTTCTTTCAGGGGAGAGAATTCTCATGCCTTTCATGGAAGATCCACATGAGAAAGGAGTTGATGGATTGAAGTCTTATTTATGGAAACTTTAGGTAAAGTCATTTTCAAAAATCAGATTTCCATTACATGCCCATTGCCGGGGTTTCATATGGAAAATTTGTTTACTCTTCCCTGGGGATTCCATATGTTGGTTGATTTATAAATCATATTTACAATCCAATTAAATAGAGTAATTTAGCATGTTTGCTCCACTTTATTTATAGTGTACATTTGGTAGTCTCTACTTGACCTAACTAGCTTTTCAGATTAATTACATGCCCTTCACTGAAAACATTAAACAGATTTGGGACGTTTAAGTCATGTACTCTTTTACTGGAAAGAATAAACAAACATCAATGCTACCTGTAGTTGTTTTCCTTTGCGGTGGAAAATTTTACTCTTTCAGTGATTGCTTCATAAATAACAATTACTTGACCCAGTAGAGATTTATATCTTTTACTAATGTCATGTGTCAAAATTAATAGTGAGAAAATTGATGTGTTTATTGAGTCACTAAAATGAATAAAAAGTGAAGGTGGCAGGAGGCAGGTAAATTTTAAAGCACACTTGCTTTTTTTTTTCTAAATTTATAAATCTGAACTTCGAAAGTAAAAAGTAAAATTAAGACAAAACTCTTTAGACCTCCAAGCTAGTTCATAATTTAGCTTGAGAGAAAACTAAGAGCTATTTTTATGCTGTTTAAGTTTAAAGATTTCTTTGTTTTTTTTTTTTTTTTNGAGACAAAGTCTCTCTCTCGTTGCCCAGGCTGGAGTGCAATGGCACGATCTCCACTCACTGCTGTAACCTTCGCCTTCCAGGTTCAAGCGATTCTCCTGCCTCAGCCTCCTGAGTCGCTGGGATTACAGCTGCCTGCCACCCTGCCTGGCTAATTTTTGTATTTTTAGTAGACTTGAGGTTTCACTATGCTGGTCAGGGTGGTCTTGAACTCTTGACCTCAGGCCATCTGCCCGCCTCAGCCTCCCAAAGTGCTGGGATTACAGGTGTGAGCCACCACACCTGGCCGCATTTTTCCGAGATGAAATCAACCTTCTCTGAGCTTCTCTTCCTACCCTGTCTTTCTGCAGTACAAAGGGGATTGCATCACTAAAATGATACTAAGTAAATATTGTGGATTTTAGAGAACTTTAAAATATTTAATACTAAGAATAATGACACAAAGCAAGTTTAAGTATGAGAAATTGGACAAATATGGAAAAAATTAGTCATTTTTTTACGCTTGATGAATGAATGTAATCATGGAATAAACAAGGCACTAAAAGGTAATATAGGCCTAAATCCAATGTCCTGCCTCCCCCTAAATTCCAGGAGCATTATTTAAGATAAAAGTTCAATGCAGCATGTCTCTGAAGGCCATCTTCCAGGGGAAACATCTCTGGGCAAAAAGAAGTGGGTCCATGCAAGGGGGATTGTAGACGTTGCAACAAAACAACTCAAGAGTCCAAGTAAATGGGGCACATCAATGAGCAATAGTTCCAAGGGCAAAGGTGTAAGAAAAGGGAAGATGACTAAGCAAGGATTTCAGAGAGAACTGTAATTTTGAATGATAGGTAAAATACAAAGAAAAAAGGAAAAATTTAGCTGTGAGGGAAAATAGAACTCACCAACAGTTATGTTCTGCTAAGTAGAACATTGTTTCTCCCATGTATAATATTAAATCTTTTAACCTTATGTCCCTGTATGATGTTGGCCAAAAACTTTTTATTATTTTAGAAGTAATTTTAATGTTAGCATTCTTATTTCATTATTCTTAGTTCACATGGGCATCAGTAGTGTAAAATATTAGTTAATGCTGGGAATTACAGTATTAACACCACATACAGATGTGAACACCACATATAGATCTTTTCATAGCTGAATTGGATTTCTTTCTTTCCAAACTTATTTATCATAGATTATTGGGATAATTCTAAATAAAAATGATTAAAACTATAATCTCTATGCAAAACTAAAATTTTTTCCTGCAATTTGATAGTTCTCTATCTTGATACCCATCTCCTGAGAGCCTTAAGGTATGCCTCCTTTGAGACATAATTAGCCATTCTCAGAAAGTGGAAGAAAAAAAAATTTTTTTTTTTTAGAAGCTAAGAAACAGATGAGGATAACAATGAGAATCAGGTTCTAGGAGAGAAAAGAATTTGTTACCAGATGTTATCTCAAAGGACGCTCTAGTTTGAGATTAAATTGCATCTACCTGTTAAGTGTCCAGGAAAAACAGTATGATATGCTACAGAAGACCCTGCATCGGGCAGGGGTGATTAATTCTTTTAACACATGACTACTGACTTGCCAATTGGTTGAGGTTACATGGCTAAACCTCTTAGTCTAAATCCTTGTATAAAAAGAGGATAAGATTTCATTTATATTCAACAGTTATATGCAGTAGTTTATTTTAAAAATACAGCATCATCTTCTCTGGGACCTTAAAATATACTTTAATTTCATTTGAACATTGTGTTGTATTTGTGACACTCTATCTTGTAATTATGGTAAACTCAATCACTTATAATGAACTATATAATTCATTAATCCTCATGATTCAGTAAAATACGTTGGATATTTCTTGGTGCCTGGGACATAGAACATATTTAAGAAACTTTAGCTTTCTTTCTCTTTTCCCATTTTCAAAGAACCAACATTGAAAAACACAACACGAGGTGTATGTTCTTGTAGACCAAAGACACAAGGCTAACCCCTCTAACATTTGTCTTATTTTGTCAGAAATGTCAGCAATGTTAAGTTATACCCATGTATATGTTCTATTCCATGTGCATATCCATCCACTCTGCATTGAGAAAGTAGCTTTTGAGACCCCACCATTGCATTCTCATAGATGTAGAATTGAAAACAATAACCCGAATAAATTAAATTAGAAGATAATCCCTGTGTTTCAATTGAACAGGAAAAAGTATCTAGCTAACATACACCTGATTAACTTAAGTCTACGGATTAAATCAATTTTCCTAATAAAATTCTAGTATTTACATGATATTTTCAGTAGGAAATATGTTAAATGATAATTCATTCATTTCACTATCAGGACACAGGATCTACTCTCTATTTCTACATAGTATAAAAATTGAGGGGGAAAAATTAGACTACTTGAAGAAGGATGCCCAGTGTTCACGCCAGAATCAGGATTAAAAATCAGAGTGTTTTTAGTGTTGTTAATAGTAACGATACCAACAATAATTCATTGGATACCAAGAGAGCACTGGTTTCTAGACAGGCTCGCCTGCCAGGACTGCTGCATCATGTTTGCAAACAAAGATTTTGACTTCTAAATTCACTTCAAGAGATTTATCCACATGGCTTTTAAAAACTCACATCACCGGGCCCAAAAAGTTTGCAGGCAAAATTTCCACTTTCAAAACCAGGCATATGCAGTTTTTTTATACAGGGAAAGACAGTTTCCTTTCTGATAAAACAGTCCTGGAAAAAGTACCTGCAATATTCATTTAAAAACCCTTCTAAGACAAAGCGCCTGATTATTGTATGTCCTTTGTCCAATGAGCATTTTCAATATGATCTCTTAAAATATGGTCTACATTTTCTTTAACAAAGGTAATGTTCATTGTGCATTTCTAACATGACAGCCTGCAGTCTGTGCCCTTCTTTACTGAAAATGAAAGCTATACCAACCAGGCCTGTCACAAGTGCCTCAACAAAAGAGCCAAACAAAACCCAAGTCCCGGGAAGGCTGACAAAGGCAATGAGGACAGCCGGATAGATTCTAAGAGTGTTTAATCGCCATTGATTTCTTCGCCCTGCACCTCCTTCCTATACTTTCAAATAGTGCAAGCAAATACTATGAATTTTCTGGCTGTAGCTTTCTCTAAGTGTTTGTGGAAAGAGTAATATCTTGCCATTATGTTTGTTTAAGTGGCAAGACTGTGAATGTCTTTAGAACATTATAAAGCTCAAATTTTAAAAAAAATATCAGAGAGTAGAGTCAGAGCATTGTTGGCTTACTCAGACTTAGGTTCTGCTTCTTTCTAAGAACCTGCGAAATGTTCACTATAATGTGATTATTTTTCACTTCTTTTCTACTCCTCTCAGGCACCAAATGGTCTCCCAGCTGTGGGCAGTTTTGTGTCAGCGTCCAGCATGGCTCCTTACCCTACCCCGGCCCAAGTGTCGCCTTACATGACCTACAGCGCTGCTCCTTCTGGTTACGTTGCTGGACATGGGTGGCAACATGCTGGCAGCACCCCACTGTCTCCCCACAACTGTGACATTCCCGCATCGCTGGCATTCAAGGGAATGCAGGCAGCCAGAGAGGGTAGTCATTCTGTCACGGCTTCCGCACTCTGATGGGAAATTCCGTCTCCAGCAGCTTCACCCGGGTCTCCCCATCTCAGCACCTCCCCCGATTCCCAGGCCTCACGTCTCACCCCTCCTGCCCTCCAACCCTCCTGTCTTGAAAGCTGGCTGTACGGACTCAGATCCTTTGTGCTGATGACACTTACATATTTCTTGCCATAACTTTTCTCTTGCAGAAAAGCTGACATGACTTTAGGATTTAAAAACAAGAGCAACAATAAGCATTGAATAAGGCATTTGTGTTGCCTGTATACAGTCTTAACACAGCGAAGAGACCTACACCCCTCAAAGGGTTTAAGGAACTTTTAAAACTAGTCTTTGGTAAAACCACACGTGTGTATATTTATTCTAAATCAACCTGAACTTTTGAAATGTGCAATTGTTGAGATTTTGCAAAATCAATAAAGGAAAATACTTATAGAAAAAAATTATTCTACACCCTCTAATCAAATATGGTAACCAAGTAAGCTTTAATTCATCATTAGGAAACCAATCAATAATTGACTTGTTTGAGTGATCCTTTGTTTATCTTTAAGACATGACTTATTTTGTTGAAAAATATGTGTAGAACCCAAGCAATATCTGAATCTAGCTCTTCCTGGTTTTGACTTGGTTCCAAATATAATAATGTTTATATTTTCTATTAGTTTGTAAATATGGACTCTGGAATGTGCATTTGTGTCTTCATTCCCTAAGATATTCCCCTCCTCCTAGCCCCATCCCCTCTCTTTTTTTCTTTCTTTTTTGCAAAGGTGACTTTCTGGAAAGTCTTTGTCTCTATTTGGTGGTGGGCTGCTCGGGCTCCTGGACCTGGATTTGTCCCCAAATTTTGTGTATGCAGTGAAGGCTTCAACGTCTCATGAAGGACACTTTCTACAGCAGAGGACACAAAAACAGATAAAACAAGCCAGTCTTCCATTTTGTACCTAATCAAACAACACACATGCTAAGCATATAAACACAAGAGGGTGGAAAATATCTGAGCAAGAAGGCTCTAAAGGAAGTCACTTAGAAACTGAAGTTTAATGTGAAATGTTTTGCAAAGACACTTAAAATGAACTTTGTGTAAAGAAAACCACTGTGAAACTAAATTGTACTGTTATTGTTGGCTTACCTGTGTGTTCAGCAATCTCAGCCCAAAATTATGTTGTAATTTAAAGAAAATGGAAAATTCTGCTCTAATGAATGTAACAGTGGCTTGCTGTGAAGTTTACATTGTTGTACAGAAGCATGTTTCACATGAAGGTAAACTGGTGGTGGTACTAGAAATACAATGCTATTTAATTTTAACAAATTCCCTTTATTCATTTCTGAAATTACAGGACACAGTTTAACTCATAAACCTTTCGAGACCAATTTATTTTTCACTTTAATGTTAATAACAGCTGTGGGGTATATGTGTGTGTGAGCATGTGTGTATGTGTTGAATTTTAAAACAATTGATTTTCTGCGGCAAAATTCTACAGTTTTTAATCACTTCTGTTTAGTAAGTTCTTCCTGATTGGCAATATAGGCTTAAAAATATGTTTTTAGGACATTGGTACAGTTCAACTGTTGGAAGATTAATATATTGAGGGTGTTTTGGTAATAATTCTGTGCAATAACTAAAAGAGCACCTCACTGGATATGGATGTTGAAGATGGATTCCCTAGGTGATTTTAATTTCTTCCTGTCTGTGCTGTGCACAGTCTACATGGCAATGCGGTTCCACCACGTTGGTTTCATGGGTTCATTTAAAACTCAGATGGCTAGATTAACTAGGTTTTCAAATCACTAGGATGTAAACAGTAAGCAGATTTCTGACACACAAGTTTTGTTAGAATGACTGCTTTTTTCAAACAGCAGATATCTTATAGAGAGCTTTGAACTGCATTTATTTCTAAAGCAACCGAAATTCAGTGCTACAAACAGAGGATTATAACTTCAGGAAAAGAATAAGCAGAAGGAGCAGATGAACTCTCAGGGCTGTAGTCTTCCTTTGATCTTGTAAAACTCCCATTGACATCTGGAGTTCCCAGTCTGGTGAGAAAATAGACTATAAACTGAATGGAACAAAGATCCAATCCAATATTTTGGTGGAGACTTTAAAACCATACCATACAGGGACTCTCCTGTTGTCTGAAAAACTGACATAAGGTATAGAACTATTCTTTATCACATGTTTTTAGGTGGCTGTGAGGGGGCTTTAAAAAATATTAATTGCTTGTGTGGAAATGCAAATAATGTTATTTTCTTTATCTAAATTAAGAAATTTCTTGTTGTGCTATTTATATATTTTTTCTGGTTCTTGTATTTTAAAAAATCTAATATTAATGGTATTGAAGTTTTGTTTTCTCCCCCTAAGTCTTAACAGTGAATTCACATGGAGTAATTTTTAAAAGACAACAGATACAATTTGCTATTCAAAGCAAATTATGATTTAAAGCCACTTTTTAAAATATGAGAAGGAAAATAGGATGGATTAAAGGGCTTTCAAAGATTATTTTTATTGGTTAATGTTGACATATTTCCTCTATCTCATAGACGGTAAAAGTGTTGCTTAACTGGCAAATGTACTCTTCAGAAGTACTTTTCTATCTCATCCACATGGAGAGGTTAAAGGTTCAATTTCATGGGCTCTATACAGGCAGTGCTCTCATAGGATGCAAAACAATTACCTGCAAGGACAGAATGCAGTTGTGCAACAGAGACACATTCTTATTTCTCTTTTTAAAACATTTTTATTTTGTTTTTTAATGACCCTCTTATTCAATATTGGACTGAAAAATAAATTTTAAAAACACGTTGGAAAGGATGTACAACAGAAGGCTATGTATGTATATACAGTATGTCAGAAGCCTTTTATTTTTATACTTCAAATGCTCTAAATTAATAAAAAGTAATAATTACTATGTTATCTTTTAATTTTTATTTTCAAAATGCTTTCTTGAAATAGTCCATAGTAGTAATAGCCCTTAGTAGTAATCTAGGACAGGTGTTGTGGGGACTTTCAGGTATTCTGGTTGACTTTAACTACTGAATCAGCATCATTTCAGGATGCAGATATAAAATCAAGTTTGGTTACATCAAGACCAAGGAGATATTTTTGGTGGTACATGTTGGTATAGTAATCCTTGGAAATGCTAAGTGTATTTCTTTTTTGGAAACTTTCCCTTCATCATACATATTTTAGTACTGCAGACAGCTGACTTCACACCTGAAGCTGTCGTTTAAACCTAATATCCTGGAAATGCAGTTCTGTTCTATACATTATTACTTAAAATGGCACAGGTAAGCAAGCTGAACAAACGTATTTGGATGCAAATACTGATGGCACAAATGGGTCCAAGGAGTGCTTCCAATTTGTGATTTAACATGAAAATACCTCGTCAACAAAACTCATCTTCAAAGAGAATGACGTGAAGGAAAGTAGTTTAAATTTATTTCATGTTTTCTACATGTTAGAAGAGATTTTGGATACCATGATTTAAAAATACATGCTTAAACAACAGTGTTTTAACATTCTGTTTTAAACAGTGTTTTAAAATACCTGTTTATTATCTTACAACACTGTGAGATATATAGGAAAATAGAGCTGAGATGTGCATACTAATGAAAACCAACAGATTTTAACGTAGTATTCATAAAGGTCATTTTAGTGCACTTTAAAAACATTTTTCATGTGCTCTTTAAATATTGTTTATTGAATAATTTAATTCATTATAAAAACTGTTTAAATTTGGCTTAACTTTTTTTTAACCCAGTCTTTCTTTGAATAATTTCATTTATTTTCAATAGTTTAAACATTTATAGACCTCTTAGGAAAAATACTGATCAATACAATGAATTTTTGTTGTGAAGCAGTGAAGAGGAACTTAGGAAACAAAGTTTATATTTCTTTTATGAAATATATGATTTCTATGCTATTTTTCTATATTCAGTTTAAATACCTCATTGTTCCATATTATTTTTTCTTCTCATCGTTTTATTTATATGGCCAAAACTATCATCTCAAGTAGCCTAAAGATAATTTTTTAAGTATTACAATGGATTTTGTTCTTAAATAGTTTTCTCTTTCATAATTATACACCTGGCTGATCGATAGTCTCTCTTCTTCATGGTGCTGCATAGCAAATATCCACTATCTCAAGGGGGAAAAACGCTTCCTAGGCAATCACCAGTTCTCCTGAAGCCATGAATAGGTATATTCATAAACCAGCAGCATCACTGCACCACCTAGAAAAGAAAAGAGCTGTTTTTTATTGCAAATGCTCTGGAGTAGCACTGGCTTTCCCACTGGGTTTCTGGATCCATGTGTCCTACACAGCCTGTTGGGCAGGGGCTGTTCAAAATCAACAGTTCTGGAGCTTCAATACAAAGATATAAACTGTGGAAAATTCTCAGGATAAAATCAAGACCATCTTGAGTCTCCAAATACATTTTTTCCCCATGAGTTTTTGCAACTTTCATCATTTCTCATCAGATTCTTTTTCAGGCACTTTTAATTTTTAAAAGTAAATAAATATAGACATATTTAGCCATGTAAGGGCATGTGGCTTTCCTGCAAACAGAAACCTTCAGATTCTTCATGTGTAGGCAAAGGATTTATCTTTTTCAGTCCATAATTAGCAGTTTTAATTGCATTCGAGAAGGAAATCTCTAAGATGGTGCTTGATGGATGAGTCTAGTTTTCTCTCATAGCTTTCCAACTGTATTGCAATGTGAAAATTAGATTCTGAATATTTAAAAAATCTGTATTGCAAAACCTAACAAAAGGAGTTTGAAAGCTAACCTTCATTCCTTTTATCTGCTTTGGTTGTATATGAATTTGAACTTGAAAATTTGGTAGTGGGGTTTGGATGTCATAAGACCACCATTTGTCTTGGAAAATAGTTACATAACTGACTGGGAAGAGACATACTCTGTGGTATGTCAACAGGAATATGATACAGAAAAACAGGCACTGAGGCTGCTGAATACCTAGCCACTGGGAGAAGCATTTGTATGTGGATCATTTTGTGTTCTATTTGATGCAGTAAATAGCATGTGTCCTATGCTCTTCAGGATAATCTCTTTTCATCCTTTTATGTCTAACTCTGTGAAAACCATTACAAAATCAAAATTTTGACAAATATCCTGAACCCAACTTAGAGAAGACGTGGCTGCATGAATAGAAGATTGACTTCTGATGGAAAGAAACAGAACTTGATTTGGGTCTTAGTTATTTTGAACATATTGCCACATACTTTTTTTCTTTAATCTATAGGTTGCATATGTTTGTGTAACCATATACCAAAGATAATTATCTGCCTGTAATTTTCATTTTTAACCCATGAAGATACTCTATTAGTCCTCAGCTGCCTAGGCCTCTTGGAACTCTGGCAAAGAGAAAGAGCTATACTACGGAGGGTCATTACTATGTAGCTAATTGCTGCATTTACTCTTATTAACCATTCACAATGTAAGACAAGAATAGGCAGAGTTGGGTTAATTTTTGGCCTAGTAATATTTGAAGTTTAAATCACAGACTTCAAGATTCTTTCATGGGAGGTACCTGATTGTTAGCCACATTGAGCTGCTAAGGCTATGATAAAAATGCTGGATGCTTCTCCAGAACAAAGAACAAAAATTCCAGGCTCACCTTCCTTTTATTTCTTACTGTATCTCTATCTATCTCTCTCATTCTCTAAAGAAAAATTTGTACCATTCATTCAAAAGTCTTAACCTTTAACTCAGTGGTACCTTTCTCTCTAGGTTTCTTTGCTTTGAAGTTGCGGGGATGCACACACTTGGAATGAAGTGGAGGGCAGGCCTGTGAGTGGTTTCTAGTTATTCGCAGTTTGGTTTAGCCTGGACAGTTAGTCCCTAAGAACACTTTTCTTTGAGTCTAACACCAAAGCAACTCAGGACCCCTCATGCAAGACATTTAAAAAGCCAACCAAACATTTGCAAGCCTCTAACAAAACTTGGGGTCAGATTATTTAAGAGTTTTCGATGGAGGTTCCAGTCAATTACCATTTTAGCTAACCTCTCCCTTGTCACCACTCTTTCTAGGCCCATCTCTTTCTGAGAAAGTTGGTTTAGGGCTGGCGCTGTGATTTCCTCTAATATTAGGTCTACTAGCAGGCTTTTACTCTGTGGTGAAGGAAAAACACTACATACTGGCAGAGATACACAAAATTCCCTACAATTCTGTTACTGGGTTAGCTTTTACACATGGGCCAATGACTAACAGAAGGTAGGTCTGAATCTCAAATATGAAGCAAAATCTATGTGGAAAGGCCTAGAAAGATTGGGAGAGATGGGTTGGGAACTGTGGAAGTGTTTCCTAAGTATATGAAATTATGAACTGTTCACCAGCTTCAATGTACAGACTGTTGTTTTCTATCTTAGGTTAATAGAAATGTTGGTGCATTGGGCTGAGATCTAAAGGTGAACGTGCATGTGTGTTCATGTAGTAGGGTAGGAGGACAGTTTTGTTAAAAGGGAGTAACCACAGAGGGAGAGAGGGGAGGAGTAGGAGAAGGCTCTAGGAAATATCACCAGTGCGTATAAGTAGGTGAGCGTAGCCTGATAAAGAAAATTTGTGTGGTCTAGAGCATACTTTTGTATTTATTCACAAGGTTGCTTATAACCCAAGACTATATGCCCTGGCAGTTGAGTCATCTGCAGCAGTTATTTTCTTATCTATTTACATAGAGGCAGCCGATTCTCCCTGTGGGAATGGCAGCCGGTTTTGTGTGGGCTGGTATCCTGAAGCAAGGGCCTGAGCCAGGAGCCGCCAGTGTCATGCTGACAACGCCCAGGAGAGGTAAGCAGCTAGTTACAGAGTCACCACTCCCCAGAGGTGACTGTGAAGACGAGTGGCTTTTGCTGTTCACGGAGGCAAGCTGTCCTCCTTTTCTCTTTTTGAAATGAAGTTGAGGCAGGAGCAAGAATGAATTAGGAGCATGAGGAAACTGTTTGGGCTGGTCCCTCACTCACTGCAAGTCCTCCCCTTCAGCCAGACGCCACTGCACACACCTTGGTTTTCACTCCAACTCCTGTTGCCTGTGGCTTCTTCCTATTGACTTAAGCTGGGCTTTGGCTGCTGTCAGCCTCCAGCAAGGACGTAAATAGTACTTAACAAACAAAGGTAGATCATTTCTAATGGATGTCTTCAGTATCTCAAATACTCATAGAGAGCTTTATATTCTCAAGGTTTCTGTCTTACAAAGTGGCAAATCTTTATTGTGTTGCTGCTGCACACAACTAACAAAAAAGGAGACACTAGAGCCATAAAGAAGGAAGGATATAAATAATCAAAATATCATTACCTGGTCCAAGTCTCATAATTTTGGGAAGCAGGCCTTTGTACAAAGCTAAAATCCTGTAATGGGAAGGGAAAGAGAAGCATTCTTATTCTGAAAATAAATGGAGTTGTACCTTATCTTTATTGAGATGGGGGTCCAGCATTTAAAAAAATAAATTACTGGAATTACACACACCTCAAAGCAGACAGCATTTTAGTATTCTCTGCAGCAAACTGGATGTGGGGAAAGAGTTAATCAATTCTTTATTACCCAACTATGCAGGTCTTGTCCAATTAGAAACATGACTTTCATCAGCAAGATGGTTTTACTTTCAAGACAGCTGTGTATATGGACAGAATAACTTTTGTAATTGAATTTAAAAGACCACAAACTCAGTCTCTATATTAGGAAATATGATGCAGTTTAGATCAAAATAATAAAGTATTACTTGTTTACTTGAGAAAAAGAGGGGTAAAGAAACAAAAAGTTTTTTTAAAAATCAGAAAAATGCACATACTTAAAATTTTTTAAAGTATTTTGACAGAGCTCTATCATTCTCCCAGGAGAATATAATTAGGTGGCACTTTGATGAGATTTACAGTCAGAAGACAATTGTTCTCCTGCCTATGTATTAATAGGACAAATAACATACAATACTATATTATGCAAACTGCCACGTGAAAAGTTCACCTTGGCATTCTAAGGCAAATACGCAGCATATTGTCACTTGATGGTGTAAGCACATGTTAACAACATCTCGTTATTGTGTTGTCTTGCAAAGTTTGTCATACATATTCACAGAATTTCTTAGACACAAACTCCACTTAGGAGGGCTTACTGGTTCTCATCTAAATGGAAGGACAATTTGGTTTTAACAATACATGAGCCTTGCACATTTCTTAAAATAAGAATGTGTTATGTTACCCTTCTTCCTGATAGACTGTTGCCATTGTTTTGAAACAGGTTCTGTACTTGATCTCTCCAGGAACTGGTTGAGGCCCTTGAATCCTACTTTTGGCAACATCAAAAGGGATGTTAATGACTGAGGCTATTGTCCCCGAGAGAAGACCAATCCCAAATTTTCTCAAAAACTCCAAGGTTGGATCCTAGAAGAAAAGAACAATAATATAACAGAAAGGGAAGCGGAAGCCCCTGAATCAGTTAAACACTATAAAGCAATATGTATGTAAGCAGAGCATTGCATTCCCGGCACCCTCCTGTTATTCCAGCGGAACACATTAGGATTTCCTAGGCTGGAACTTGTTTTCTTGACAATCCCATTGGCTATGTTTTTACACATGGTCTAAATTGCTGAAGTACACATTTCCTCACACAGGATTTATAAACACAGTTCATAAAGAAAGACTGGTATGGCATATGGGGATGATTTGTATAATTGGGCTTCACAATGTACTTAGTATTACTGTATCAAAACAGGAGAAATCCAAGCACACTATTAGCTAATTGGCCAGAATATTTTACAAATGACAGCAACTTCCACCATGAAGCCTACTAAAATGCTCATTTGTGTGTGGACCCCCAAATGTTAAATTAAATCAAGGCTACTCTCGGTCTGCTGCTATTCCCCGCCAGGTTTTTTGCATTTATTTTCACGTGTAGCTGATCCACTGTACTGAGAAGTGCTAGCTTCCTGTTATTAACAAACCAACTTGGGGCGGCTGCAAAACAGCCTGTGACATTCTGTGCATTATAAACAGTAGTAAGTCACTGGACTAATTGGCTGAAGAATTTACAATCCATTGTTTCGGAATCTTGTTCTTCCTCCATGGCAAAGGAAGAAAAGGAGAAAGAGAGACAGAGTGAGAGTGAGTAAAAGAGAGAGAAATATTTCTTCTTTCCGTTTGAATTCAGGCCCTTCACGTTGGTTTGATTTGATTTTCCACCTCTCCCTGCCCTGCTTTCTGACATCAAAGTATTTAATTAGGTCTTATGTGGGAGTCACTCTCCTTTGGCCTATTTTTGTGCCCTGTGAACTCACATTATGCTTTGTTATAATGAATTTGCTGAGAAGTTCTCATTATGTTGCCAACCTCAGTTCTGTGTTTTCAGTTCTCCGTTCTCTGAAGAGGGGTCATATCACATACTAGAAGCTGCTGACTCGGACCCCCTGTCCTATCTTTTCCCTGCCCTCTCTTTTGATCAATATTTCAGAGGGACCATCACAGAGGAATAATATAGGGTTGTGCTACAACACTATTTTATCCAGAGGGGAAGCATACCCTGCTTAAGTTAAACAAGAAAATTCAGGTCTGAGCATTACATGCTTCCAGCTGCTAAGAAAGAAGAAACTTCTAAGGGCTCTGAAATTTTCAACTGAACCAAGAGCGTTACCATCACAGAAACTCCTATGTGGCTAAATATAAAAAGCAAGGGGTTTGGTAATAATTCCTGGATCTGGGCCATACAGGTGCCGGGGAGGTTTAAAGGGATTTGAAAACCAACAGGGTGTTTCAACAGGAAAAACAATGCAGTGATTGCAGTATGAGTGAGGTGTGTTTAAATAATTCCCTCTCCCTCCATTTTTTCTCTTTTACAAGGAGAGAAAAATGCCTTTATGTTACTCCTCTCCATTATGGCACAGAAGCAGAACTGTAGCTCAGGAGGACAGAGTGAATTCTAGACCAGCTCTGGTCATCTGACCTCTGATGAGTCACTGAATCACCCAGAGCCCAGTGTATATAAGGGAAGTTTTTAATACCTACCTTACCTCTAAATTCTATCATTTTTTTTCTGAGAAATAAAAACAATAATATAAGTAAAAGTGTTATAAGTGGTACACAAGCCTGGCAGAAAATGAATAGTATTATTATGTAGCCTGTTTTCTAAAGATGCAAAACAACCTGTGAAAAGATGCTTTCTTGATGTCCCTGTGACATTGCCAAGCTCGCTTTCTTTTTCAATTAAAGACAAGAATGGAAATGATGATTTGTATACACGTCATCCTTCTGTGAAGTTTGGGAGACCTGACTGATGTGTTTGCTGAGGATCAGAGTTGGGGATGGGAGGTGAAAAGAGGACTCAATGATGTTCATTGTGCTTGAGATATGGCATTGGAGACCAAAAGCTAAGGTCTCTAGGCCATCATATCATAGTGTTCACTAGCAGGAGTAAGTGTCCACCTTTGTTTTTTAATTAATTAATTAATTTATTTATTTGAGACGGAGTCTCACTCTGTTGCCCAGGCTGGAGTGCAGTGGCATGATCTCGGCTCACAGCAACCTCCACCTCCTGGGTTCAGGTGATTTTCCTGCCTCAGCCTCTTAAGTAGCTGGGATTACAGGCATGTGCCACCATGCCCAGCTAATTTTTTGTATTTTTAGTAGAGGTGGGGTTTCACCATGTTGGCCAGGCTGGTCTCGAACTCCTGAGCTCAGATGATCTGCCTGCCTTGGCCTCCCAAAGTGTTAGGATTACAGGTATGAGCCACCATGCCTGGCCCAACTTTGCTTTTTATACATTTCCCAGCACAACAGTAAGATCCCACAGTGGTTCCACAATCTAGCTGTGCTTCAGAATCATCTGGCAACTTTATAAAATACAGACTCCTGGGTCCCACCGCAGACCCATCTCGGGGGTCCCATAGCAGAATCTCATGGGAAGGTGACTGCAAGTTGTTTAAAAAGCTCTCCAGGGCTCCTGAGGCTGCCAGGCTAAGAACTCAAGTCCAGGAATCAGTGATTTTGATGTTCCACACAGGCAAAGCAGATGGTCAGTTGATACCCCTGTGGGCATCCTAGGGAGGAAAAGAATTTGCTTGGGATGGCTATCCCTGACCACTGGCTTCTGGGCTTGTACTCAGTATCTTCCTTGATCTCAGAGTCTGCTTGAATCCAGCATCCCAGGCTGGGTCTGCGTGTGCAAGGACAGCCCTCTCAGCTCACCTCTGCTTTCTTTGCCACGTGCCGCCAGCAATCTTCGAATGAATGCAGCATCTCGGACGCCTCTCCCGTTCATCCTCTCCTGGTCACTGCCACCTCTCTGGCTTTAGTTCAAGTTCCTGCTACCTTCACCAGGTCTTGCTTCCTTCCTGCCTTCTAGGATCTATTCTTCACAGTGACATCAGGGTTCTTTGTTTAGAAAAACATCTGCTTCTGGTATCTCCCTACTCAAAGACCCTCAATACTTCCTGGATGCACAGAGAATAAAGACAAAGTGCCTCACTGGGCTATTGGTTTCTTTCCCACAATATGCTTCCAACTTATCTTTCTAGTTTCCACTTCTGCACTCCTCCCCTGAATCCATACTATGGTCACACTGGTTAATTCATAATTACTCAAATATACCAAGCACTTTCCCAACTCTATGCTTTTCTTCAAACGACTCCTGCAGCCTAGGATGTCTTTCTCCATCATATTCACCAATAGCAATCTCGCTGCCCTTTAAGGTCCTGCTTAAATCCTACTCACCCAAGAAGTTTACAGATCCCCTGTAAGAAGTGATGTATCCTCTCCTCTACTCTTAAGATACTGCCTGAACCACGGTCCTCACCTTTGCTATGGCCCACTTAGTGTTTAGTATATTTTTGCATGCATCTCTCTTCCCTGCAGGGCTGTGGGACTGTATAGCATAGAAGCATGTGTTACTTCTCTTTGTGTCATCTGTTTTGCAGAGTAAACAGTAGGTGCTAAATAAATGTTTGCTGACTGGTCTATCAATGTTTATACTTAATTATTATTTGTAGAAACTATGAGAATCAGGTTTAATATAAAATCATTTTTTTCTCAAGACTCAGTGTCTTCCAGGTTAAATCTTTATGACAACATTGTATTTCTTTCTCTCAGGAGGTATTAACATGGGGGCACAACAAGGTATTGGGCATTTTGAAAGTGGAGCATTTCAGAGTGGATAAATTGAGACTTTCAGGTCACAGAGCTAGACCTGGGGTTGCCAGGCTCTGTTGCTCAGCAATCACAGAGAACAGCATGGTACGGCAGGCTGTGGCCAGATTTTAGGGGTAAAAAGAAAGCAATTGTACTCTCTGGGCTCTTTGGTCTTACATTTCCTGATGTTTTCCCTAGTAGGAAGAGGCATCCACTTGCCTCTAAAAGAATGAGGATTCTTGGCCAGGCAGAGAGGCTCATGCCTGTAATCCAAGCACCTTGGTAGGCCGAGTAGGGCAGATCACGAGGTCAGGAGTTTGAGACCAGCCTGGCCAACATGGTGAAACCCTGCCTCTACTAAAGGTACAAAAAATTAGTCAGGTGTGGTGGCGTGCATCTGTAATCCCAGCACTTTGGGAGGCTGAGGAGGGCAGATCACGAGATCAGAAGTTTGAGGCCAGCCTGGCCAACATGTTAAAACGCTGTCTCTACTAAAGATACAAAAAATTAGCCAGGCGTGGTGGGGCGCACCTGTAATCCCAACTACTCGGGAGGCTAAAGCAGGAGAAAAGCTTGAAACCAGGAGGTGGAGGTTGCAGTAAGCTGAGATAGTGCCATTGTACTCCAGCCTGGGTGACAGGGCAAGACTCCATCTCAAAAAAAAAAAAAAAAAAAAAAAAAAGGTGGGGGTGGGAAAAAAAAAAAAAAAAAAAAAAAAAAAAGGTGGGGGTGGGGGAAGGTTCTTGTAACAGGTATAGCAGGACTACAAAGAGAGAAAAAAGGTAATAGTTTAGTGGTTTTCATTTCAAATTAGAATCTTGATCATCAAAATGGAAACTGTGGAGGAAAGGCATAGTCTTGAAGAAGATTGGGAGCAGGAAATGAAGTGTGTGAAGTCCACATGTAGAGAAGGTACCAGGAGGCCTACTAGTGGCTATGACCAGAGAGCAACCATGCAGAAGCCATCCAACACATTGGACTCCTCCTTGGCATTCTGGTGAGTACTGTGTGGCCAGGGATGAGCACCTCCCTTGGAAGTTGCTCTTGTGGCACCTGGAGGAGAGGGTCTTCATAGCTGCTGCCAAATCAGGTTCAGGAATGAAGCAGAGAGGGACTCCCTAGAGCTGATGCTGCTGAGCTCATCCAAACTGCCCTGGTGGACAACCTCCATGTCAGCAGCACAAGACACTAATAAGCCTGGGGACAGCACAATCAATGGTGTGGAAGAGAAAGTTCCAACCCTGGTCCTTGGGTGGGGCTGGGTC